AAAAAAAAAAAAAACAAACAAACAAAAAAAGATTTCTATTTTTATGAGACATGAATTTTTCTGATCTTTTGTTTTTCCTAGTGATAAATGAAAAATAATAGAATAAATGATTGATCTATGATGAATATCGATGTAATAAACTTATTAGACAAAAAATTCAGACGCTTATATTAATTATTGATTATTAATTATCGATGTATAATAATTAATCATTATATTAAAATTCGTGATAATATTGTAATATTTGAATGCATCATCATAAGTGATAACGAGTAAACAAAAAAAAAAGAAATGATATCATTTTCTTTTACAACATAACAAAAGTTATAACATTTTCCATATAGCGATAAAAAAATACTCTATTTACTACCAGATCGTCCAATATTTTTTTTACATATTATTACGTTACGTTATTCTTATTATTATTAATTTAACGTAAAGTCAATTAAAATGAATTTAGACGTGCATTTGTGTATATAATGAAATATCTTTCATTTCTTCGTTTGAAATTTGAAAAAAATACGATTGGATAAATCTTAATTATTATCCGATGTTTAATCAATAATTAAAACGTTTAACATACACAAAAATATAATAATAATAATAATAATAATAATAATAATAATAATGATTTTCTATGTAACAAAAAATTATAGAAAAGAAAAGTACATTTTGTAGATTAAGAAAAATAGAAAAATAATTTTGAACAAATGAAATATTATTCATCTACAATTCAATATTCGAATGTTCTCTATTATCTTTTATATTTTTATATAAAAATATTTGTTATATTATAATTAATAATAATAATAATAATAATAATTGATATTTTCTATGTAACAAAAACTCATAGAAAAGAAAAGCACATTTTGTAGATTGAGAAAAATAGAAAAATAATTTTGAACAAATTGAAATATTATTCATCAACAATTCAATATACAAATGTTCCCTATTATCTTTTATATTTTTATATAAAAATATTTTTTATGTTACAATTAATAATAATAATAAATATAATAATTATAAATTAATAAAAATAAATATATAACAGTTAGAAAATTTGTATATAAAAAAAATATAAAAGATAATAGAAATTTTTAATTAATTTCTCATTTTACAATTTTCCATTACATATCTTTTTTTTATATTTTTCTATTATCTTTTCTACTAATTGGTAGTAACGCGTAATTTATAAAAAAAAATAAAAATAAAAATAAAATAAAAATAAAAAGAATAATGAGAGAGAGAATGAGAGACACAGATTATTAATAAATAGAAATAAATAAGATAGACAAATAATTAGATTAAATAGTTTAGATATAAAGATAAAAATAAAAATAAAAAAAAAATAAAAATAATATACGTCTCATAAGCGATATATTTTTCCAAATATTTGTCTAGACTAGGACTAGACAAGTTTGTAGGAAAATTTTCTACGAAATAGGAGACGATTGATCATGAAATTTTAACGAAGACTGCTTCGTTTTACAAAATCTAATCGTATTCGGATGAAATTATCGCATTTTCGTTATAATTCGTTTGGAGTAAGCGAACGAAAAGAAGGGGGAAGGGAAAGGGAGGGATGAGGTGAGGGGAGGGGGAGGGAAGGGGGAGGGAAGGGGGTTAAGAGGAGGGAAAAAAATATTCGAAGAAGAATTGTATTTAAAATACACTCTATCTCATACTTTGTCATCCAACATCCTCTTTTCCACCCACTACACACCTCTTCTTCCTCAGAGAGACCACCACCACCACTACCACCACCCTTCAACCACCCCTAAATTCACAATTTATTTGTAATTTATCCAGTTAAACGAAAACTTTCTAAAGATAGAAAGAAGATTATTATAGGGAACCTTTTTCTATCTTTGTTACACTACTTATACACGCATATGTGTAAATATACATGGCCGTGCGCGTATATACCAGCGTATTTCCAATGAATTGTATTAATCATCAAATTGAAGGAGGCTTAATTAAACTCAATAACTTAACTATTAAATAATCGCTGTGAATTAAGGCCATTCGTGCCATACTGGGTGCTGCTCTCGATATAAATGATCACGATGTGTGTGTGTGTGTGTGTGTGTATGTGTGTGTATGTAAGTACGTAAGTACTTATATATAATGATTGTAAACGTTTGTCTGATTCTATATGTGTTTGTGTTTTATTGTATATGAAAGAGTATGTATATGAAGTATGCGAGTAATTATTATTATTATTATTATTATTATTATTATTATTATTATTATTATTTCAATTATTACTATTATGTACGAGTATCGTTCGATTCATTTCAAACTTCCGGAAGATACACTGACGTTCATTTTTTCGCAAATTGATAATTCAAGTTGACCGAAGAAAAATTGTTTTTTCTTCTTTTTTTCTTCTTTCTCTTCTTCTTCTTCTTTTTTATTTTTTTTTTTTTCTTCTTCTTCATCCTCTCTATTTTATTTTAATTCTTTTTCTTTTTTATTTTATTTTATTTTTTTTTTTTTTCATCTTTTTTGTAATATTCGTCTCTTGACAAGAAATTAACGAAGGACAGGGTGATGAATGGTTTTTAATATTTAAACTGTGTCCTCTTCCAATATTAATCTTGATTTTAAACTCGTTTATATTAAAATTAAGCGAATAATTCGAATAAATGTCGAGTTAGTGTAAGAGAGAGAGAGAAAGAGGTAAGAGAGAAAGAAAGAATGAAAGAAAAAAATGAAAAGAGAAGAAAAGCCCGAAACTACTTCGAATTTTCGTAGGCAATGTTGGTAAAAGTTATGATGCAATAATTAAAATAATTACGATAGTCCAATTAATATTTAATGTTAAGTAATCATTATTATTATTATTATTATTATTATTATTATTTTATTTTTACTATTATACATTTTACTATTACCAATTATAATTATTAATATTAATATTATTATTATTATAAGTTTCCTCTCTTTTTTTCTTATCATTTCTTTATAAAAGATTGCGCTTTGTTTTTTGTAATAAATTAAAAACGCAACTTTTGTAAAACGATTGTATAAACTACGACAATACAATCGATAAATTATGTAATAATAATTATAACGAGTTATATTATAATAATTCCTAAAAAAAAGAAAAAAAGCACCCTTGCACAAAACTATTTTCTATTTTCTATCTTTTTCGTTTTTTTTTTTTTTTTTTAAGAATTGTTTTCTCATTTTACAGGCAAATCTACAAACAATGTAAAAGGTATACAAAAAAGAAAAAAAAAAAGCGAGAGAAAGAGAAGCATACATACATACATACATCGGGATCGTGGCGAAAAAGTATCGACTATTAATTGAAAAAAAAAAAGAAAAAAAAAAAAGAAAAAAAATTGAAAAAAAAAAAAAACGAAACAAAATTATATTTATAAAAAAAAAAAAATTAAAAAAACAAAATAGAAAAGAAAAGAAAAAGGGGGGAAAATAAAAAAAGGAAATAACCAACGTCGGTTTTTTTCCACGTCGTCGTTTCTATTGACGTGTGCGCGGGCGTTAATTTTTTATGTATATATATATATATAAATTTTTTTTTCTATTTTCTTTTTTGTTTTTTTATTTTGTCTTTTGTTTCGAGCATAAACGAGAACACGCGTAGAAATTAATACGTAACAACAAAAAGAGAAGAGGGTGAGGGTGAGAGTGAGTGAATGAGTGAGTGAGTGAGTGAGTGAGTGAGTGAGTGAGTGAGTGAGAGAAAGAGAAAAGAAAAGGAACAAAAAAAAAACAAAAAAAAATGCACAAATAAAGAGAACGAAAAATTCCGAAATTAAATCGGAATTTTTTAAAACGTTTCGCTACTCTCTGTGTATGTATGTATGTATGTGTGAGTGTGGGTATGGTGGTAATACCATTTGTAGAGTACTATAGTATCTCTGTATATATATATATATATGTATCTATGCGGTGTTTTTTTATACATATACGTACACGTATATAACACATACTCACGTGTACGCATATGTATATGTATGTACACATTTATTTGGCGTTTACAAAAAACCATTGACTAATTGTTTTCTCTCTGTTTTTTTTTCCACGGGGGGACGTTAACTAGCAGACAGTTACCAGTATCAACTGCAGTCGATGTGGCAAAAATGTTGGAACACCAATCAGAGCTTGGTCCACAATCTACGCTTCCGTGAACGTGGCCCATTGAAATCCTGGAGACCGGAAACGATGGCGGAAGCGATCTTCAGTGTTCTCAAGGAAGGATTATCATTGAGTCAAGCAGCGAGGCAAGTTTCAATTTGTCTTTATTTCTTTTGAAATACAGGTAACCCTCCTATAACACGGTATATAGGTTTCCCAGAAAATAACGCGTTGTATGAGACCAAAAGCCAGTACAAAAATGGGGGGTTAGAAGACTTAAGGGGGTTAGAAATACTTTTCGCAACATTGTATCTTTAAAACGGCAAGCCTTGCCACGGCTGTAAAAGTACAGTGTTGTACAAAGGTTTTTTTTTGAAAGGAAACCCTGTTATAGGATGCCGTGTTGTAGGAGGGTTACCTGTATGTTCATTTGATAGAAAGAAACAATAAATTGATTTCTACACACGGTATATGTAAAATATTTTCTTAGAAAATGTCTTCTGACACACTGACCCATTTAATTTCTTCGAAAAGTTATGGCAAACGCTGACCTCTATAATATTTTAGAATACAAATATTCTTTACTCGTAACACCGTAGTAAAAAAAGGAAGAAGAAAAAACAAAAAAACGGTAAACAAGTAACGAAGAAAGAGTCCAAGAGAGAAAGAAGTTTTATGTCCTCTTCTTGTACACATACACACACCTATGTGTGTAATATGTCCCTTGAATTCCAAACAACTTATGTTTTCTCTCCTTCTCTCTTTCTCTCGTATAATACAAATTCGAAACTGAGAAATTTGTTGAGGAAAAAAGAAAACAAAAAATATAGTTTTGCCAGAACGACTTCGTACATATTACATATTACCATATCTATCTCCGTGTGTATATGTGGGTGTGTGCCTGTATACACATATGTCATTTCTTGGAATTAACTGCTTCAAAGTAGGTTAGTTGAATTCATAAAAATGAATGATCGATCATGAGAATATATAACATATGTATATGTATGTATATATCTGGTGTATGTATGTATGTGTTATGTAGTTACTTTTTTAACATAAAGTCGTAGATATTTGAATTAATGATATCTTCGATTTCATAGTTTCTTTTTTTTTTTTCTTTGTCTTCTATCTCTCCTTAAATTAACAGTTCTTTTATGAGCAATCATTTAGTAATAATAATTTGTTAACAATAAACCAATATAGGATTTTTTTTAAGCACGATTAACGTTCGATATAATAATAATAATTATTATTATTATTATTATTGAATAATATTTTTTATTTTCGCAGAAAATACGACATCCCTTATCCGACATTTGTACTGTACGCGAACAGAGTTCACAACATGTTGGGTCCTAGTGCCGATGGAGGAGCCGGTGAGTGTTTGTTAACCCTTTTTAAATTATTCTTACGAGTCACTTCATCATTTTTTGATCTGCAATAAATCGTTGGTCTTTGTTTGTTTTTTCTTGGATTCTAATCAACATAGATTTGCGGCCAAAGGGCAGAGGACGACCCCAAAGGATTTTACTCGGCGTTTGGCCGGACGAACACATTCGTGGTGTAATACGTGCAGTTGTCTTTAGAGACGGTCATTCCCCTCATATTGTTAAGGAAGAACCAGCTACGATGTATCCGACTTTGGCGAATTATGCAGCTTGCAATGGACCGGAAGGTGCAGTCAGTCCTGGGGCTGCTGCCGCTGCGGCGGTGGCTGCTGTTGCTCAAGGTATTTTATTTGGAATATATTGGGTTGGCAAGAAAGTCATTTCGTCAGCGTTATGTTTGTTTCGTTATTCTTTTGTTAATGTTAGAATTTTGTTCTTTTGAGGTTTGGTAGTTGACACTTTTAGGTTGCTGTAGAAACAACAAATTCCGCGTGTAATTTAAAATAAACGTAAAAATAAACAATTGTGTTTTATTTTACACTAGAAAACCTAAATTACTTTCTTGTCAAGCCAATATTTTCTCTTCGATGAATATATCATGAATTGATATGTTAATGATATAATTAATTGATTATTTTCAGGTCTAAGGCATCAAATGTGTAGCATGGTAGCAGCAGCCCACTCGCAGCACGATATGATGGCGACGAACCTATCGACGAGTTTATCGACGAGTCTTTCGTCGAATTTGCAAGCGGCGATGCAGGCGAGTCAACATCACAACAACAACAACGCGAGTATTCTCGGTAACAACGGAGGTGGAATGATGGGTTGCGGAGGTGGTAACAATTCCGGCAACTCACCTTTGAATTTAGGCCTGGCGAGTCCAGGTTCAGGTGGTCCACCGGAAAGTCCAATGGAAAGTCCATTAGCGAGTCCATTGGGTCCATTGATGGATCCTGGGCATATACCGGGAAGCGTAGAAGTTGGTATCGGTGTAAGTGGTATGACGTATAAACCAGCACGAAGCTTTGTCAGTCCCAGACCGGAGACTCTTTTTCAAGAGGACATTGCCGACCTTGTTAAAAGTCCCCACAGTCTCAAGGACAAGGACAAGATACCTGTCAAGTTGGAACCCCTAACTGACTCTCGTTGCGAATAGTATGCGACGATTTACGACTCTTTGAGAAAGAGCGAATGAGCAAAGCATCTAAGAAACGAGTGTAAAAGAAACAAAAGGATAGGGAGAGAGGGAGGGAGAGATTTAGGGGGGGGGTAGGGCTAGAGTAAAGAGGATGAAGAGATGAGGAAGAAGATGATGAAGGTGAAGAAAAAGTTAGGGGAGAAAGTGAAAGAAAGAGAGTAGGCTTTTTCTGTCCGTCGAGACGAGAAAGAGATATAGAAGAAAGTGTGAGAAAGGAAGATATATATATTAAGAAAAAGAAAGAGTTAGAGAAAGAAAAAGAAAAAAAGGTTGAAAGTGACGACGATTTTCCGTTCGACGGACCACAAGACGCTCTCTCATCTTTCGGTACTCCGGGATTTCTCGAAGAACACTTTGAGGTTCAAATAGGAGAAGAAGAAAGTTGGAGGAGAAAGAGGGAGAATAAAGAAGCGATCTTCTTGTAGAAAAAAAAAGAAGAGATGGAGACGACTCTCGAATGAGAGAGAAAAAGATAAAATATAGAGCAGCTCGCAATGAGAGAAAGAGAGAGAATGTGAGTGAATGAATGAGTGTATTAAGGGAGAAAGAGGATAATAAAATTCGTGCGAGGACTTTTCTACGAATATTGTCGAGTATCGACGAGAGCCTTGTTCGTCGTGGGTTTTTTTTCGCCGCTAGAACGCCACGTACAAACACTATGCGTTTAATCTCGCCCCCATTACGGTGAGTTCTACGTGAATAATAAAGTTATTAAAAATGAGAAGTAGAAGAAGAAGAAGAAGAAGAAGAAGAAGAAGAAGAAGAAGAAGAAGATAAAGAAGAAGAAGATGAAGAAGATGAAGCAAAAAAGAAAAGGAAGAATGATTAAAGTCGCGTTGCGTACTTGTAAAAGAAGAAGAAATTATTTCTAGGAGACGAGGAAGAGAAAAAATTTCATGAATAAGTTAGAAGAAGAGGGGAAGAGAAAGAAGAAGAAGAAGAAGAGGAGGAGGAAGAAGAAGAAGAAGAAGAAGAAAGGGGGAGAGACTTAGAATCAAAAAAAGATGAAGCGGACGACGAGAAGATAATAATAAGAAAAATGTAGGAAAAAGCGAAGTAGAGAAAGCGAGAGAGAGAGAGAAAGAAAAAATTAGAGTGAATGTGTGTGAAAGAGAGATAATAGAAAAAAAAAAACAAAAAAAAAAAAATAACTACTATCGTGAAAAGCAGGAGTCGTCGTTCAAAAGCTGCGTCGTCGATCGTCGCCAAATATTTTTTTTTGTCCTCTTCGTAGTCGACGTCGTCGTTGTCGTCGTCGTCGTCGTCGTTTTCGTCGTCTTCGTCGTCGACGAAAAGCGAGTCGGCGATGATCGGCGACGAAATATTATCACACACTCGATTTGCTTCCAGAAAAAAAAAAGAGAGAGAGAGAGAGAGATAGCAAGAGTGAGAACGAAAGAATGCGAAAAAAGAAAGAAAAATAGTAAAAAAGATAGAAAAAAGATAGAAAGAAAGAAAAAAATAAAATAATAAAGGATCGTAGCCCAGCCACCCATCATCACCACCCACCACAATCACCAGCTACTCACACTTCGACAAAAAAATAAAAATATAAAATAAACAACAATAACAATAACAATGCATCATCATCAGGAACATTTAACAGAACACAAATTGCATATACATTAATAACCAAAATTATAAATGCATAAACAAATATACAGATACATACATAAACGTACATGTATAATACAAACTTCTTTTTCAAAGAACATTAGGCACATGATGAAACAAAAATTCGATGAAAAATGCATGTCGTCTTGCACGCACCGGTTTCATATCGTGCGTGTTGTATGCTCCTTTCTTTTTATTTAGAATTTTATTTCTAGTTTTTTATTCTTTTTCAAAAAAAAAAAAAAAAAAACACGTGACGAAGAAGTTTGTAACAATCATACAATCAATTAGCGAGGAAGAGAAAGAATATACACGGAAGATGCACTCCTCTAGTGTGTACACGCGTGTGCGTTAAATCGTGCATACATATTTATATTGCATTAGCGTATAATACGTGTCTCTTCTTCTTCTTTAATTCAAAAATGAATAAATAATTTAACACTTTACGAACACTTATTAACATTACTACCACTCACTCTACTCGCTATAAAAACTACACACACACACACACATTCACACATTCACGAGTCATAATCATACCCCTGAAAAAAAAAAAAATAATAAAAATACACCGCATAAGTATACCAAATTTATACCTACGCTAACGATAATTGTATATGACGATAAAATAGTAGCTGTACTTTTAATGCCAAATGTATAAATTAATTAATGATTATTCGTAAAATAAAAAAAAAAAAATAAATAAATGCGATTATTAATGAAATATAGTCGCGTCGTAATCGAAGATGATGTGAAAGTAATTTGTTACGACGACGATGACGACAACGACAACGACGACGACGACGAGGACGAGGACGAGGACGAGGACGAGGACGAGGACGAGGACGACAACGAGGACGACGATGACCCGGCCTGCGGCTTTTTTTCGCGACCCAAAAGTAGTCTCACAGCCTCCGGATACACCAAGAGTCATACATACATTTTTAACATACACACGCACATACAAATACATAGAAGAATAAAAACATTGCATGTTAAAGAGAGAAAGAAATAGAAAGACGTATGATAAAGTTATGATTGCTCACTGCACTACTACTGAATTATGATGACACGTGGTGTATCGTTAAATCCTCATTCTCCTTCCTAACTACCCTTAATAACCCAACCCCCGAATCCTCAACCAATAGCCCAGCCCACATTTCTCGTTTGTCTCTTCTTCCTCTTCCACTTCGGTATTCATCTTATTAATAAATTCTTATTTAACTCTTCCAAAAAACAAAAAAGGAAGTTGAAAGGATGATTAAAAGAAAATAACGAATTCTGGACAAAAGGTAATTTAAAAAAGATAAAGATAAGAAGTAGAAAAATAAACGACTTATATACGCCACTTAAAACGATCATTTTTTTCATCAGTAAAATGCAGTGAGCAATTACGCTGATCTACATACACTCGAGTAATATATAATAATAATAAGAAGAAAAAACAAAGAAAGAGAGAAAATGTAAGAGAGAAAGAGAGTGAGAGAGAGAGAGAGAGAGAAAGAAAGAACGAATACACTCGTATACATTCATATATATATATATATATATATATATATATAAACACATACACACTACACACAAATTAACACACAAGAAAAGATGTACAAAATTTCACCCTACGATTGTCTACCAAATAAAGCGAGAGAGAGAGAGAGAGTGAGAGAGAGAAAGAGAGAGAGAGAGAGAAAGAAAATGAAAGAGATAACAGATAAGGGAGTTAAATGAAAATTAGACAAAGTGGAAATAAAGAAAGACAGAGAAAAGGAGAGAATGTTAGAAAGAAAGACAGAAAGTCGACTAAAGTCTTTTTATGAACGACGAGTACACATTGGGACGAAAMAAAATAAAAAAAAAAAAAAAAAATAATAATGATCGATGTACTTTATTAAGTGTAATTATTGCCTTCCTGCCATGTTTGGGGTATGCCAAGTATAAAAATTATAAGGTTAGAGATATTAGGGATGAGAACAAATGGGAGATGGTGACACAGGACCCGGTGAAAGAAAGAAAATAATAGAAAGAAAAATAAATTTGTATGAATTTGATAAATTAGAATGTGAGATAATTATGATGATCATGCTAATAATGATGATGATGATGATGATGATAATGTGTGTTGTATGAATCTTTTGATGATTTATTGTGTGTGTCTGTGTGTGTGTATGCGTGAATGTTAGAGAGAAAAAAATGATCTTTTAAAATTACGAATGAGAACAAGAGTGTATGTGAATGAATGAGAGAGAGAGAGAGAGAGAGAGAAAGAAATTAAAAGTGAAAGGAAAAAATGAAAGAGAAAGAAAGAAAGAGAGAAAGAAAGAGAGAGAGAGAGAGAGAGAAAATGGTGAATTCAATTTCGTCAAAAATATCGTGCTATTTTTCAAAATTTTACACTGCGTGACTTTTGCGAACGGGACCCCGAACCTCCTCGACAATCGAAGATAAATTTCGAGATTGTTTGTTACTAAAGCAGGTATAAAAGAATAAGTAGAAGAAAAAACAAAAAAAATCAAAGTTAAAATATCGTCTATCGAATAAGAAAATTTGATCGCGCTGAGAGAGTTATGAGAGATAAATCAATTTGGATTTGAAATTGCAATGTGGTATTGTAACTTGAAGATTAATGATAGAAGGAAAGATACAATGAAACATCTTGGAAAATTAGTTTTATTTTTTTCCTATTTCTTTTCTTTTTTTTTTCTTTTTTTTTTTTTTTTATCAACGTGCAAAGAAAAATTAGTAAGGTGAACATTTGAAAAAGGAAAAGTAAGAATCGTTTTGTGAGTTTCATGAGTCCTCTCTCCGATATTCTCCTTTCGTATCGTTAACATATACTATATACTTACGATAAACAAAATTAACAAACAAAAAATATATACATATATATATATATATATATATATATATATATGTATATGATGTATTTATTATATACTCGAGGCCTTCGCCTAACGTTTTGAACTCGCGATCGCGTTCTTCGAGATAAGAAAGTTTTTCGTAAAAACAAAAAAACACAAAAATAACGGGGATGCATCAACCGATGGCCAATTCGTCGAACCAATAACATTTTTACTACGTGAATGTTTTAAACGAGCGTCAGAGTGTGACAAAAAGAAAGGGAAAGATTTTGGAATAATAAAAAAAAAAAAAGAAAAAAAAGAAAAAGAAAAAATAAATAAACGTCAAAAACTCTCAAAAGTGACCTTCGGTAAAAGATTTTTATGGTGTATTTTTTTCGGCCTTCACGTGTGGTGATAGAAAAAAAAAAAAATGAAACACAGAAAAAGTATAGGTGTGACACGTAAAAAAAAAAAAAAAAATTGAATATTATATATACAAACAAACATACATATATATATATATTTACACACACACGCACGAACACACACACAAACGTACACACATATTACGAAGG